ACGGCCTCCCCGTCCCCGGCTCCCTGCTCCCCGGACCCTCACCCCCAGACCACGGTGTCCCCAGCGCTACGCCCGTGTGCGCGCCGCTGCCCCGTGGAGCGCCGCCGCACGCGCCCCGGTCCGAACGTGTCGCCTTTGTGTGCGCGGGTGGGAGGAGGAGGAGGACGCGCGAGGGAGGGGATGCGCCCCCGCTGGGATCGCTGGCGACCCTCATCCGGGGCCGGGCGGGGAGTGGCGGGAGGGGCCGAGCCGCCTCCGGAGCAGCTGCGTCCCCGCCCCCTGCTACGACCCAGGCCGGGCGGAGAGGCGAGCGCCGCTGTCCGCCTGAAGGAAGGGGGGGGGTGTCTCTGGCTTGGGGGAGGGGCCGCTCAGGTCTCTTCTCCAGGCCGTGGGGAGGGTGAGGGGGGTCACTGGCTGGGGTCGGGAAGGACCCCATCCAGGCCCCAGTCTCGCGCGGGCAAGCTCTCCATTGGGCCTAGGACCCCTTTCCCACGGTCCCAATTCCCGACCAGCCCACTCTGGAGCGCCGGGGCAGCCCCCGTTACTGGGGCGCATCGCCTGGGGTGTCTGAGAGGCGGGCTCCTTTAAGAAGGGGCGGGTTCGTGCCCTCCATTCAGGCCCTTCGGCCTCGGCCATTGAGGAACCTGCGGGCTTCGCGGGCCAGATCCGCGCCAGCGCAGCGGCCGAGGCCGGGCAGAGGCGGGGACGCGCTCGGGCCCCCAGCAGCCCTAAAAGTGGGATCCTTAGGCGAAGAAGTCAGCAGTGACTGGGGCCTCTCCGCAGTCACGCAGGGCAGACCGAGCAGCCTCAGGAGTGCCCATGAAGATGAATAAGCCAGAATCTCCACTGACACGGAGGTGGTGCCAGGGAGAGCCGCAGGGTGGGCCGGCCGACCTGGAGTGAACCCTCCCTCCGGCCAGCACTATCCACCCTACAAAGTGGGGTGGTGCTTCCTGCCTGCTGCCGGGTGACCAGTGGGAGTTGTCGCCTTCCAACACTGCCAAGAGCCAGGCTGAGCCCCACATCTAGGAGGGAAGGGGGCCAAGGGGCCAGGTTTCCCGGGGAGGCTGCTGGGGGTGATCTGAAGCCCCCCCCCCCCCGTACTCTGGAACAAATCTCTTCCCTCCTGGCCGCTCTGCCCCGCCTGGGAAGCCACTAGCTGGGGATTTGATTTAGAACTTTTCTGCTGCAGTAACTTAGGGACGGTTCCCACAGCAGTCCTCTTAGGATGAGGGTCTTCTTACTTCCTGCTTCCTCCGCCTCTCCGTAGAGGTGTCTCCCCAACCTCTGGGAACCCCACTCTGCACTCCTCGGAGGCCGAGCAGTTGATTGGTTCCTGGTAATGAAGGTGTGTACACATGCTTCTTACCTTACTGTGAAGTCTAAGGTTCCAGTCCCTCCTCCCTACCTGTACTCCGGGTCTCCCAGGGAGGACCCGGGAACACACACTTAGGGGTCAGCTTCCCTTAGAGTGCTGGAGTTGGGGTGTCCACCTAGGTGGTGCTCAGGCTACCCAGAGCTCTGCTTCTGGTTTTGAGCTGACCTGTGCCAGGCTAAGGGTATTGTCGGCGCCATTTCTCACATAATTACCCTGTGAGTTTGGACCTGCTGTCATCCCATCTTACAGAGCAGGAGTCAGGTGTAGGGGAGATGAAGTGACCTGCCCAAAGTCACTCGGCCAGGTCTTCGGGAAACCACTTTTCTCTGACAAGAGCCCAGATCTACTCCTGACTTCTTGCATTACCTGCAGCCCACATTGCAGGGATTGGAGAGGTTCAGAGCCGTGGGCCTCCTGGCTCAGTCCCCATGGGATTCTGGCCACCCCAGAACCAGGGGAGCCCCCCTCCTGGCCTGGTTCTACTCTCCAAGTCGGGCCCTGAGTGACTGCGAGAGGCCTCGGTCACTGCTGACTTCTTCCCCAAAGGATCCCACTTTTAGGACTGCTAGGTGCCCAGGTGCATCCCCACCTCTGCCCAGCCTCAGCTGCTGCGCTGGCGCGGATCTGGCCTGAAAGCCCACAGTCAGAGCTCCGGGGCCTGGGGAGGTTTCTCTGCCCCTTACCTGCTTGAGGCTGTTTTTATGACTGTGCTCTGTCCCAGGGGACAGCAGGTGTGATCTCGACACAAGGTCACAGCCCACACTATTGGGGCAGAGCGAGGCAGGGCACTGTGTGGGAGTGCAGCATCGTTTGCCTCTCTGGGTGAATCAGGGTTTGTGTTCCATTCTCAGAAACTTATGACCCTCTGAGGACAGACCCACCTAGGTGTCCATGGTCTGGTGGAGGAGATGGGCCACAAGCCAGGTGGCATTGTGGAGGGGAAAGGGTGGAGGCAGGAGGGGCCAAGGGGCATTCCTGGGCCTCTGCAAGCTGGGGACCTGCCAGCCACTGGGGGACGAGTGGGAACAGGTAGGGTGCTGAGGAGTTCCAGGAAAGGTGCACAGAACCTTAATTACCACCTGCAGCTAAGTAAGCTCCTGGGTGACAAGCATTGAGGCAGCACGGAGGTTTCAGGCATCACTGGTACGTGTCATACAAGGCAGACTGGCAGGCTGAGTGACAGGGACTAAGAAGAGCATTGTGTAGGTCTAGGGGTCGGGATAAGGCTCAAGCCAGTGCTAGAGAGGGGCCCCTCTGCCCTGCAAGCCAGGAGGGCAGGGGAAAGAGGATGGAGCCTGACAAGTGCAGCTGGTGCCAGCCAAGCCTGCTCTCCACCACCCGGACCCATTGGGGAACTGTCCAGCACGGGGTGCTCCTGAAGGAACATGGGCCGCCACCTTTTGAGACCCCCAGGCCCAGGATTAGCGTGTCCTGGTCTCCCACTCCTACTCCTGTGACCCCCACTTTCAGCTGTGGGTTTCCTTGCCCCTTGGCATCTCTGCTCCCTCTTTTCCTCCAAAGCAAGGACTGAGGTCCCCTACTGTGCCCTGAGGGGGGCTCCCCAGGACAGGTCCACTGATCCACTCTTGCCCATTCTGCAACCCTGGACTCACATGAGTGGCGCCTGGCACGTAGTGGGAGCTTGGAGAATCCAGCAAGTGAGGGGCTCATTGCCTCTGAGATCAGAACTCCGCTTTTCCATGTGTACGATGGGAGAACCCCTTTCCTATAGGGAAGGTGTGAAGGGAGAAAGGTTTTAAACAGGGACATGATCTAATCAGAAGGGGTCCTGGAAAGCAGACCTTTCACACCGGGGAGCCTGACTTTGTGGTGTGGGGATGGCAGGAAACAGAGTGGCCAGGGGGGCAGAGGCAGCTGTCTGCCTCCAGCTGCTGCAGGAAAAGTGGGAGGAGGGATGCAAAGTAGATATTTAGGAAGCAGAAACGGGAGGTGGTTTTTTTGGTGTTACTCAGGATCATGCTCAGGGCCTTTGAACTGAGCTACATCCCTAGCCCTCAACGCTTTTTTTGAGACAGGGTCTCACTAAGTCACCCAGGGTGGGCTCAAATTTGTAGTTCTCCTGCCTCAGCCTGAGTGCTGAGATTACAGGCACGGGCCATGATGTCTGGCTTGAGCTTTGGCTTTTAAACAAGCTACTTAATCCTCATACCAGCCTCATGGGGTTGGCACTACTCTGACCTTCCGTGTTAACAAATGGGGAAACTGAGGCCCCAAGAGGCCCAAGGGTCACACAGCTAGGAAGGAAAGGAGCTGAGATGCAGAGACTGCTCCAGATGTCAGGCCTCTAACCCCTCCTCTGTCCCTGTGCATCAAATGACCAGCTGTTGATGTAGGGAGATGCCCAGGCAGTGGCGCCCTGGTGGGGAACAACTGTCCAGTGTGGCTGTGGGCCCCCCAGGGCCCAGGGTCTTTAGGCTGCAGAGCCAGCAGGGCTTATCTGGACCGGGGGTGTCCGTAAAAGTCAGGGGGCTGAGAGGCACGAGGCTGTGACTCCTCCGAGGGCTTGTGCTAGGAAGCCATTTACAGGCTGCCACTCACCTGTATAGGGGCTGGGACTCAAGGACTCGACCCACACCTGCCCTGTCACCAGAGTGGCCCCCCAGTGGACCACCTGATGCAGGGCTCATGCCCACTTTGCCCTCTGCCAGGGAGACGGGTGGGAAGAACTGGGAAATTCCATGCGTGTCCTTACGCTGGCACAGAGCCTGGGGGCCACAGGAGAACCAGCGCCTACATCCCCCCGCCCCCCGCAGAGCTGGAGGAAGGGAGGGTGTCTGTGTCCCGCACAGGAGGGGTGGAAGTGACTGCCACAGAGGCCTGGGGCAGCTAGTGAACCAACAAGAAAAGCCTCCATAGTCACCTGCTGGCTGGGTGACATGGGGAGCCCTTTGGGGCCAGCACCCCCGAGGGTATTGGAGAACAGTGAGGCCTTGCCTCCTCTCCTTGCTGGGGACACCCAGAAGAGACCTCAGTTTCCCCGTGTGACTGGTTCATCGGAGAGGAAGCTGTGCAGCCCAGAGCAGAGGACCGTGATTGCGGGGGCGCTGGGCGCTAGGGGGGCCGGCTGCTCAGGGCGAGGGCGCTGGAGAAAGGGGAGGATGCGAGCCCCGGCATCCTCGCGCGGTCCCGGGTGGCCAGTTCGCAATGCGGGTCACAGGCCGTCCCTGCCGTCCCAGGGGTTTTTCTGTCTCCCCCGGCAGGGACAGCACCCAGGGGAGGCCGCTGTTACCAGGGCTGGGGCTCCCCAAACGCAAACAGCGCCGGGCACTGGGCGGGGCCACCCCTCTCCCCGCCCCAGACCCTGCCGGCCGCTTGGGCCCTGGATCGATTGGTGTCGGCCCATTAGCGGGGGCGGCTGCGCGGCCGCCTCATCAATATTTTAAGGATGACCAGGCCTTGGGGTCCGGAACTGCGCGCCTGCGGCAGGGGCTGAAGACCGGCCCCTTTGTTTTCTTTTCCAATTGTCAGCGCTATTTTTACCGCCGGAAAGCCGCTGCCGCCCCCTCCCCTCTCTAGTGGCTCTAGCTGGCGAGGGTCTCCGGGCACTGGGCTCCTGCGGTAGAATCAAGAGAGGCCGGGCCAGGGCTCGGGAAGGCGAGGCTGGGCTTCCCTGACCCGCCCCTCGGAAGCCCCGTCCCATTCGATCTGTGAACAAACAGCATTTCCAGGAGAAGCCAGGCAGCCTGGGCAAGGAAAGGCTGGGGGTGATGGGAGGGGTCTACCCACCCTGTGGTTCCTGGGAGCCCAGCACCCTGCACAGGATGGGGATCCTTTGTCCCCAACTCTAGTCCTCAGGAAGGAAGCCTGTAAAGGTGAGGTGCCCCCTGGCCTGTCTCTGGTCCGATTTTCAATATCCATGCACCATGATTGCTTCCTCTTTCCTTTTATTTTTAAATTTTAAGACAGGCTATAGTTAAAATCACTAAGTTGCCCAGGCTAGGCTCAAGCTTGCCATCCTCCTGCCTCAGCCTCCCAGAGTGCTGGGGTTCCAGGCGAGTCCCACTATAGCCAGCTCTACTTGGTGACTTTTATCTGTGGCTGTACAATCCCTGCTTCTTCTTCATAGCTGGGGCCACTCCCTATGGGCACTGAGGGTGGCGTGGGGAGGTCGGGGCAGCCCCCTCCATTCTGTCAGCCCTGGTCAGTCCCTGGGGGGAACCCCACCTGCCAGGGTCCTCTCCAAGTCCCACCCCACCCGCATCTAGGGCCAGCCGGGGACCCCCCGGGAGAGCCTGCCCAGGGCCTGCTCCCCGACTCCCACCCTACCCTCTGCCAAGGCTTTTCCCAGCAGCAGCAGGAAGAGCAGGAGGGACAGGGATGGATGCCGGGAACAGGCGCTGGGGCTTGCTTCCTGCCTCCCCCAGTGGGGCAGAATTGTTTCACACGGGCAGTCACCCACTCTCAGCCCCAGATGGTCCCAGTGGTGTGGAGCAGAAGTGGCCTCCTGCTGGGTAAGTGCCTGGGCTCTGCACTCTCCGGGAAATGTCACCCTGTGGATAGGGCCAGGCCTGGGCCTGGGCTGTCCACCTTCCCAGAAGGCCGCGGTGGTGGCGGCAGGTGTGTTCTCACCAGCACCTCTGGGGGAAAGGACAATTACCCGGTGCCAGGACTCCCTCTGCCCCGCAGGAGTGCCTGTGCCAGCTGGGAACACCGCCCTAGAAACCAACACCTGGGGCACCCTGCAGCTGGCAACTTACTGGAGGGATCCGCGAGGGACTGGAGGAGCTCAGTGCAGATGCTTGTGCCAGCCTGGGTAGGGGAATGGGGAAGTCTGGCAAGGCTTCCTGGGTCCACCATGGAAGGGCGGGTAGGAGTTTGTCAGGTGAGGAAGGGAGCCCCAGGGCAGCGGGAGGGACAGAGCTCTCCAGGGCCTTGGCTCCCAGCTCCCCCACTTTCATGGCCTCTGGATACCACCCCCTACCTCCCAGTGTCCCGGTAAGCCCCGCCTGAACCATTGCTCAGGCTGCAGGATGGGGGCTCTGTCCTCTTTGCAGGCCCTGCTTCCTGGAGGAGACCTCTCACCCTGCTGCCCCACATAGCAAGCAGGGTCTTCAGGGAGACTTGGTGGTTTGGAAGCCGTAGGACGCTTACTCCTCAGGTGCCCCAGTGTCCTCCCCAGTCAGTCCTGTGGTCACAGCTGTCCCAAGGAGAGAGGGAATTCTCCGGGTCCCCACAGCCCAAGGCCTTGAAGAGGATCTTGAGGAAATAGGGCAGCTATTTTTACCTGGCATTTAATTACAGGGCTGGGATCCCGGAGGAGCCTCGGGCTGGTGTTCCCAGAGCCACCCGGGAAGGGAGGGCGGGTGGGCGGGGCGACCATGTGACCCTCCATGTCGGTCCCCTCTCCCCAACACAGCTGGCCCCTCCAACAGGGTCCCCAGTGCAGGGCGGTGTCTCCCCACTTACACTCTGCTGGGTTTTATCGTGGCCCATGTGGCCCAGGGGTGATGGCCCCTTCGGAGGAGGAGGGAGAAAGTCCCCCGTGTGACAGGCAGGACACACACCGTGTAGTTCACTCATCCACAGGGCTGAAGGAGGAGCTGCCTGGCAACAGCAGGAAGCTAGGGTGAGAAGACAGCTGGGCCCTGGGCTGAGCTGGGAATTCTGCAGAGGACAGTGTGGTTGCTATGCTGGAAGGAAGTCCTGGGGACACAGGGCCTTCAACACTGGCACAAAACCTCAGTAACTGCCAGGCGTGGTGGCACATGCCTGTAATCCTAGCACTCCGGGAGGCTGAGGCAGGAGGATTACAAATTTAAGCCCAGCTGGGCAGTGTAACAACTTAGTGAGACACTGTCTCAAACAAGTCCTGAGAATGGTATAGGTTGATGCAAATGTCCTGAAATCCCCAAAAACACTAAAAAAAGGGGGCCATACTTGACCCTCTCGTGGTGTAACAACCTCCGTGAGAATCCCAGACCGGTCTTGTTAAAAAGCTGTGTGTGCTGAGGCCCCCTGTGAGGGTTGAGGCAGTGACAGCTGTGACGCACCTGGTGTACTGAACAGTCATTTGTCCATTCTATCAGTGTTTACTGAGCACCTGCCACATGCCCAGCAGCGGGGACAGTTACATTCAACACAGGACGGCACAGTTGTGGCTGGGTTCCCAGGGAAGGGGCCGAGGAGAACAGCAAGCCAGTAGGGAAGGGGCAGAGGAGGACACTAAGCCCAGTAGATGTAGGTCAGACGGTGATGAGCACGGCAGAGAAAATTGAGCAGGTGGAGAGGTGCCAAGACCCCCCGCCATGGAGGAAGTGGGAGAATTAATTAATCTCAACAGATCTGTCAGGGAAAGCTATGACACTCAAGCAAAACCCCAAAGGAGCTGAGGGAGAGAACATTCCAAGCCTGTGCAAAGGCCCTGGGGTGGGAGTCCAGCTGGCCTGTCCCAGAATAGCAAGGAGGTGGGTGCAGCTAGCAAGGATGGCAGGAGACGACCGCTCAAGAGGTAAATGGGTACTGGTGGCCCCAGGTCATGCAGGACACCAGCAAGACTCTGACTTGTACTCAGAGGAATGGGAGCCGCTGTGGGATTCTGAAGGGGGAGACCTAGCTGCCTGTGACTTAAAAGTGCTAACTGGCTCCTGCATGGACAGCAGATTTTGGAGGGCTGAGGTTAAGATGAGAGGTCTGGGTGAGGCAGCTGTGATACTGTGCTGGCCAGAGACTGGGTGAGAGGAGGGGCAGAGGGCTGTCTGGATGGCACAGGACTTCTCCCTGTCCACTAGGCTCCTCCCACCCTCTTACTGGGGAGCCAACCGAGAGCTTTTGCACTGAGCAACTACCTCTTCAGACCTCTTTATTTTCCTTTTAGACAGGGTCCTGCTAGATTGACCAGACTGAGCTTGCACTTGCAGTCCTTCTGCCTCAGCCTCCCGCAGTGCTGGGATTACAGGCCTCGGCCACCATGGCTGGCTTCTAGCAGGTTTCGAGTGCCCTCAGAAGAGGTTAGAGAGGGAATCGAGCCAGGAGAGACTCACAGGGACCCCACTTGAAGACCTCGGCCGTTGCAGCCTCCTCTGCCAGCTGCAGGAATGTCCCTGGGGCTCCCTGGCGCTGCTGTTTGGGGAGGGGGCTCCCTGTGCACAGCACCACTTCCCTATCTCCCGCATCCACCCTGCCCCCATCACACACAGTGGGCTGAGGTCCCAAAGTCACCCGCTCTTTTCCCGCAGCCGCAGGGGGCTGCGATGGGACGGGAGCCATGAATGGTGCCGCCCCCGGCCCCAGCGCCGCCGCCGCCGCCCCGGTCCCAGACTGGCGGCAGTTCTGCGAGCTGCACGCACAGGTGGCCGCCGTGGACTTCGCGCACAAGTTCTGTCGCTTCCTGCGGGACAACCCGGCCTACGACACTCCGGACGCCGGGGCCTCCTTCTCACGCCACTTCGCCGCCAACTTCCTGGACGTCTTCGGCGAGGAGGTGCGGCGAGTGCTGGTGGCCGGGCCGGCGTCGCGGGGGACAGCGGAGCACGAGGCAATGGAGCCCGAGGCGGCGGCGCCCCCAGCCCTCAAGGTGGCCTCCTGCGGCCACTCGCGCAGCTCGGAGGACGTGTCCGGCTCGGCCGCCAAGGCCCGCGCCCGCAAGGGCTTCTCGCTGCGCAACATGAGCCTGTGCGTGGTGGACGGCGTGCGCGACATGTGGCACCGCCGCGCCTCCCCGGAGCCCGATGCGGGCGCCGCCCCGCGAGCCGCCGAGCCTCCGTCGGAGCCGCGCGACAAGTGGACCCGGCGCCTGCGGCTGTCACGGACCCTGGCGGCCAAGGTGGAGCTGGTGGACATCCAGCGCGAGGGCGCGCTGCGCTTCATGGTGGCCGACGACGCGGCCACGGGGTCCGGGGGTGCCGCGCAGTGGCAGAAGTGTCGCCTGCTCCTGCGCAGAGCTGTCGCCGGGGAGCGATTCCGCCTGGAGTTCTTTGTGCCCCCCAAGGTGAGTGTGTCCCCTACCTGGGGGACGGAGCGGGTGTGCAGCGGGAGCTGGGGACTGGCTGAGTTGGGTGATCTGGTTAGGGAATGGAGTCTTTGGGGTCCGGGAGCCTGGCGCATGGGCCCGCGGCTGCTTTCCGGACAAGTCATCCATCCCTTAAGGCCCTGTTCTTCCGAAAGTGGGAGAGGGGAGGGAGGTGTGGTGTCTGAGATCGGCAGTTTCAGCACTCTGGGAGGCTGAGGCAGGGGGATCACAAATTCCAGCCCAGCCTGGGTGACTTCTTGACTTATCGAGACCCTGTCCCAAATAACATAAAAAAGGGCTGGGGATGTAGCTCAGTGCAGGGGAACGGGTAGCAGAGGAAGGGCGCCTTCTGTCTGCAGAGGTGGCCTAGGCGCTGTCCTTGGTCTTGATGACCCCGCCGCCAGCTCTCCTTTACCCCTCCTCACCTGTACCAGGGCAGGCGCCTCCTAGAGCTGAGGGGTGGGAGTGCCCAAGCGCACCCAGAGCGGGCCGCTCAGAGGGCTGTGTCCCACTCCATAGGACTCTGCCCGTGCCCAGCTGTTCCAGGTGGCCCTTTTCCTGCTCAGCCTCCCGGGCACGGGCCTGCAGAGCCCTCGTGCAGCTTTGCGCCTTCTCCAGGGAGGCAAACCTGCCTTGTTGGAAAAGTGAACCGCTAGTGGCCACTTTCCAAGATCGCGCCCTGCGTCCAGCCTGGTGACCTGCAGGTACAAGCGCTCCTCCTCCCCGTACCTGAGCAAAGTGGGCACAGGGGGCCAGGTCACTGAGGAGAGCATCGGGTACTCTGACAAGGGTACCCAGGCTGCCCCTGCTCTGCAGCTGAACCGATAAACTGCACCAGCCCCTGGTCTCGGGAAGGGAGGGCAGTTGGGCCATGCCGCAGGTGACCAGGCCCCAGGGCCACCCAGGCCCCACCCTCCCACCACACCATCCTAGATCCTAGTCTTTTTTGTTTGTTTGTTTGTTTTCTGGTACTGGGAATCGAACTCATGGCCTTGCACTTGCCAGGCAGGCACTGTGCCGCTGAGCTAAATCCCCAGCCCCGACCCAAGTCTCTTGACTCTGTCTTTTAGGAGCTCACTGCCTGTCCTAGAGGTGTAGGGGTGTGGAGTCCCCAAAACTGGATGCCTGTGGGCTGGGGATATAGCTCAGTGGCACAAGCATCTGCCTGGCAAATGCAAGGTCAAGTTCAATTCCCGGTACCAAAAAAATAAGACAAAACTGGATGCCTGTGATCTACATGGGCCTGAGAACAGTGACTTCCTTGGGGAAGAGCTTTTTCCCCAAGTCCTGGAACCCCAAGACTCTTCAAGGGCTCTTTGCCTGCCTAGCCACCATGCTCGGGTCCCTAAGAGAAACTGTAGACCCCTAAGCCCAACTCTGCTCCTGGACAGACAGAGACCAAGGCCCTGGGAAGGGCAGGACTTACCCGGGGTCACCCAAAGGGCAGGGGCAGAGGCCGCCTCCAGCCCTGAGTGGCAGTCACAGCTGCCAGTCTGTAAATAGCCACATTTGCCACCCTGGGGGAGGGGACACAGCAGCTGGTGCCCTCTCCATTGGTCCCTCCGGAGCCCACCAACTTCACTGCTGGCTGGCAGAAGGCAGGGTTCCCAGGGTGCCTGTGCCCCTCCCCCGTTTCCGAGGAAGGCAGGTGGGCTCCTATCCCCCTCTGGCTTCAGGCCTCCTTTTCATGCAGATATTGGAGCACACCTTGGTATTCAGAGTGATCCTTATGGAAGGGTGGGTCACACCACAGTTATTAGTCTGTGTTCTGTGCTATAACGCAACACCTGAGGCTGGGTTTTGTACCTTAAGATTTATTTAGTTCATAGTTTGGGAGGCTAGAAGGCCAAGGTCAGAAAGCCCCAAGCATTCCGAGTCTGATGGGATCTTCTGGGCCTGCCATGACACGGCAGAAAAAGAAGAAGAAGGACAGGTATGTGTGGAAAAGTGACCTGACTTTATGAAAACCCACCCTGAAGCCACTAGCCCAGTTCCCTGAGGACCACAGTAACCTCTTCCCAGGCCAGTGCCCCAGTGACCACCTGATCTCCATGAAGCCCCCCCCTCCTAAGGGTCCTGCCACCTCTGAATACTGCCAGACTGGGGACTAGACCTCCCCAAGTGGACCCTTGGTTGTCCCAAACCATCGTACATAGTAAGGGGCCAGGGAGGGATTCCCACATGTCCCAGTGGCCTGGCCTCCAGGGGGGTGGGGCCCCCAGAAGAGCTTGCCAGTCACCTCTCCACCCACCCACAGGCCCGGTCCCCTGGGCCCCTTGGAGCACTCAGAAGTTGAGGGACACACTCCAGGCTTTACGCCTCCTGTCCACAGCCCTTTGTGCCCCAGACCCAATGAGGTCTCTGGCTTCCTGGCCCCTAGTCTCCCCACCCCCAAGAAGTAACACCCCCACATCCCAAGGAGGAACAAGGCTGGCCCCTGTCACTTGGGGAACCACCAGGAAGCCCATACTTGGAAGACAAGTTGCAAACCTGAGGAGGGCGAGCTCCTGGGGTCCTAAGGAAGGAAGCTTTGGGCTGTGTGTTTAGCAGGTGGCAGAGACATGGCCGAGGTCTGCAGTTGGAAGTGGATGCCAGGTTGTGGCAGGGAGATGAGACCAGGGTATACAGCCTCAGATGCCAGCCTAAGAGACCACAGCACCTCTGGTCCACAACGACCCAGCTAAAGAGCCCAGGCCAGGCCTTCAGTGTGGACCTCTGCCACACCTGCCCCATGCCCAGGTGGCCCTCAGCCCCACTGGCTGCTGTGACAGTCTCCCACCAGGTCAGCCAGGCTCCTAGGTCACTGCCCCAAGCCCTGCCCTGCCCCTGCTGGACCATGGCCAGGTCTGACAGGAACTCCCATTGGCCTACCCACCAAACATGTGGCTCTTCCTTTTCCTCTAAGAAAGTCCCTGTCCCAGAGCCCAAGTCCTGCCGGGAATCCCAGTCCCAGGCCAGCCCCAGGGGACCTCGGTGCCATGGCTGGGAGTTTTGGAGCAAAGCACATAGGACAGGCGTGGGGTGGCTCCCACAGCTCGCCCTGGTTCCGCTGCGCAGTGTCTCTGGGGACACTAGTTCCTTTTACTCACACCTGGGCCAAGGCCCCGCTCAGCTTCAGTCCCATTCTGAGTCAGGAGCCGCGCTCCAGGAAGTCTAGTGTGAAGCAGGAAGCCGGCACTTGTTTCTTTTTTTAATGAACTAGAATAGAATAGAAAACACCACACTCCATCACACACAGTAAGGGTAAATATTGCCTGGTGAAATGTTTGTTTCAGATATTTTTACCTATGTGGGTGTGCACTGGGCTGCAGTGTCAACTATGTGTGTTTCTTACTACAGGTCTAGGTCAAAAATGGGAAAACCAAGCAGAGTGCAGAGGTGTGCTTTGTCATCCCAGCACTCTGGGAGGCTGAGGCAGGACAATGGAAAGTTTGAGCCCAGCCTGGGCAACTTAGCAAGACCCTGTCTCAGAATTAAAAAGAGCCAGGGATGTAGCTCAATGCAAAGGTCCAGCACTGCAAAGGAAAAAACCACAGGGCTGGGGGCTGCACTGGGCAGAGGGCAGCCCAGCTGGAGCTCACCCCTCAGGGGTCAGCAGTTGGGGCTCACATGTCAGTCCCAGTTTGGTCCCTGATGCTGTGCGACCACCGGAGATGCTCCCTGGTTGGCCTTCCTCAATTTCCGATCTGAGAAATGGGTGTCAGAACACCACTCTGCTAGGGAGGCCCAGGAGCCTAAGATGGGGGCTTCTGTGACCCCCCGGGAGGTAGGAAGGGGGCAGAGGGTGTCGGGAGCCCATGAGGTGACCCTCTTGCCCTCTCCTCCTCCGGCCCCCAGGCATCCAGGCCCAAGGTCAGCATCCCACTGTCGGCCATCATCGAGGTCCGCACCACCATGCCCCTGGAGATGCCGGAAAAGGACAACACGTTTGTGCTCAAGGTGAGCCCCCTGCTGGCCCTGAGGCCCTTTGTCGGCCAGAGCTGGCCACCTCCTTCGTAGGTAGTGCACCTGGAGGTCTTCACAGGGAGGTGGGGCAGGCGCTCCTGGAGGGCGTGGAGAACCCCGGATCCCACCGGGGATGTCTGGCACATAGCTAGGCTCTGAATCTGGGTCTGGGCTGTGGAACCCCCAGGCCGGGATGCCTGGGTGTGCCTCGAGTGACAGTGGTCATCTAGGGCCCTGTTCCCATTTCCTCCTGTCCCATGAAGCCCATTAGGGTTTCACTTCCTCCCTTCCCTTCCCCACAGGAGCCAGTGCACGCCCACCCCGCGGCCAGAGCTGGCAGCCCGCTTGGAGCGGTTATGCAAATGGCCCTGCAGCAGGGCACTGGGGTGTGGGCGCTCGCCCGTCCCACCGAGCACTGCAGTGGGCGAGGACGGCACCCTGGGGTCCGGGTCCGGGCCCTGAGCATGGGTGGCCTGCAGGGGTGGCTGAGGATGCAGCTCCTGGCCATCAGGCCAAGGTCCCCGTGCCTCCTGGGAGGGTCAGCCGGTGTCTGAGGGCAGTCCCCAGGGAGGTGGCTTCTGCCTGTTCGAAACTGCACGAAGCCGCCTCTCCTCTCCAGGCTGTAGTTTCACTTGTCCCTGTGCATTTTGGCTGGATTCACTGATTCACCAGGCAAACATATGCTACCCCCGGACCCTGAGTACCCCAGGCAGGTGGCTGAGGACACAGGAGCTGCCCACGCGGCACTCCCATCTGCAGGATGGCCCGTGTTGCTGGTTATGCTTGGGAGGCCTGAGGCACAGGGACTGGTTTGGCGGCCCCACCCCTTCAGAGTGCAGTTAAGGGGGCGGGGGGTCTTGAGGACCCTCCCAGCCCAGCACTGCGTTTGGACAGAGGCACAGCATGGGAAGTTGACAGCATGCGGCCTGGACACCCTGAAGACTTGGCTTTAGGTCACCAGCACTGGCTGCTGTGTGACTTTGAGCAAGTTACTTGGCCTCTCTGAACCTCAGTCTTCTCATCTATAAAACAGCATCAATAGATTGCCCCCTCCCCAGGCTGGTGGGAGGGGCTTGGATGCAGTGGTAGAGTTGAGGCACTCTGTGTGCTGAGCCAGTTGCCCTCCCCTTTTGACTTGGACTCCATCTCCAGGTGCCAGGGTCCTGGCTGGGGATACTGGCCCTCATACTCCCCCAGCCGGCGTGGCCTCCCCTAAGCTTTAGCTCCAGTACATGGGGGCAGGGGCCTGTGGGGCTAGGCCTCATCTGCAGTGTGCGCTACAGGCTGCCCCCCTGGGCCCAGGCTGGCTTGCAGGCAGTGCCTAATGGTGACCCTAGTGCCCATCCCTGAGCCTTAACGGAGGGGGGAGAGGTGGGCCATAAGAGCCTCTGGGACCCCATCCTGGGGTCTGGAGCCCTTGTTGCGGGTGGGGGAGGCTGGAGTATGACCGAGGTCTGGATGCCCTGACACCCTTCCAGGTGGAGAACGGAGCTGAGTACATCCTGGAGACCATTGACTCGCTGCAGAAGCACTCGTGGGTGGCTGACATCCAGGGCTGCGTGGACCCTGGGTGAGTGCCGTGTGGCCCGGGGTAGGGGTGCAGCTCGGGATGTCCACAGTCCTGCCCTCAGGGGGCAGTCCATCATGGGCTTGGCATGGTGCTCTCTGGCTGGTGCCCACCAGGATTGCCCAGCACAAGCCCCACTGCCATCCCCGGCTGGCTCTGGGAGGCCTGCTCTGCAGGGCCTGGGCCTGGGGGCCCCTTCCTGTCTTCACTTCAGGAAGCCTCAGATGGCTGGGAGGGGGCTGTGATGGGCCCCTGGACCAGGGAAAACCTGCTGTAAACATGCCCGCCTAATAAAGGCATGGATAAAGAGTGGACCTCACCCAGGCATGGTGGTGCATGGTGGTACTCCCAGCACTTGGGGAGGCTGAGGCAGGAGAATCATGACTTCAAGCCAGGCCTAGACAACTTAGTGACTTGGCAAGACCCTGACTCAAAATAAATAAAAAGAGGTCTGGGGATATAGCTCAGTGCAGAGGTCCTGGGTTCAATCCTGAGTACACAAAGGAAAAAAATGAAATAAACTAAAAAAACAAAACAAAACAAAACCACCAGTGAGCCTGAAGCAGCCAGAAGGCAGGAGCGAAGAGCCCAGCAAAGGCCATGGGTGTGTACCGGAACCTGGGGCCTGAGAGGACAGGGAGGCCTCCGAAGCGGCTGGTGAGGAGGGGTTTTTGATGAGAGTCCAGGAAGCTGGTGGGCCCAGGGCAGTGGGAGCCATGGCAGATAATAAGCAGAGGGCAGTTCTGCCGAGCTGTATAGCAAGAGCTGCAGAGAGGCTGCCTCCGCCATCCAGGAGAGAGCCCAAGGCCAGAAGGAGGGGCGCGTGGGCCTGCAGTGCAGCACTTGGCAGCAGCTCTCAGGCTAATGGGGTGCGCTAGCCCCGGGGAGGGGCTGCGCCTTGTAATTAACAGCTTCATTTGAGGAAGCGCAATTAAAGTCCTGAGCACCTCCCTGCCCCTGCTCCCCAAAGTGGTCCCGACCCCTCCTCTGCCACCCAGCCCACCATCTGTGCTACAGACTTGTCCGGGCCCTGCAAGGGTGAAGCCGGCTCTGAAAAGCGGTGGAGCTGTCACTTTGAGTCACAGACTGGGAGACAAAGGAAGGGAGGGAGGGGAGCGGCCCGGGCCCTGCCCACCACCAGCCCTCCCCTATTTGAAGGTCCCTCAAGGTTAACAAGTAGCTGTCATGCAGCCTTAGGGGACACTGCCCCCACCTGGTGGTGGCCTCTCTAGTCACTTATACAGAGGCCACGGAGCCGGTGGAGGGTAAGGCCGAGGGAGACCAGGTACACTGATCATGGGTCGGCCAGCCACTGCCCAGCTCCAGAAGCAGCCCAGGGCCAGGGCCCAGTCCATAGGAGGACACAGCTGTCCTTTCTCCACCCTATAGCGACAGCGAGGAAGACGCTGAGCTGTCCTGTGCCCGGGGAGGCTGTCTGGCCAGCCGCGTGGCCTCCTGCAGCTGTGAGCTCCTGACAGATGGTAGGTGGGGACTGGGAGGGCACAGTTGGAGGGGGGACACTGGGGTAGACAGGTAGAGGGAAATGTTTCTCACATACCACTTCCCCAACAGCAGACCTACCCCGGCCCCCAGAGACAACGGCGGCCGTGGGTGCGGTGGTGACAGCCCCACACAGCCGCGCTCGAGACACCCTCGGAGAGTCCCTGCCACACGTCCCACTAGAGACCTTCCTTCAGACCCTGGAGTCCACAGGCGCCAGTGGTGGTGACAGCAGTAATGCAGGTACCAGTGGGCAGCTGGCTTTCCCTGCCCCTCCTCTCCTGGGTCCCTCACCCAGCCATAGGGACCCCCAAGTGCCCTCTAGAACCCTTGCTGGACCCCAGGTGTGGTAACATTTCATCCCTCCCTCCATATCAAAGTGTGCCACACTTTTTTGTGGGCGAGGGCAGTACTGGGGATTAAACCCAGGACCTTCCCACTGAGCTACATCCTCAGCCATTGGTACATATATTCATATATACGTATATATATTTTTTAATTTTTTGAGACAGGATCTCGCTACATCATTAAATAGCCCAGGCCGGGGTAGAGCTTTCCATCTCCTGCCTCAGCCTCCCAAAGTACTGTGATAATAGGCCTGTGCCACTATATGCAGCTTGAGTCAAGCTTTTGTTGGCCAGTCTGGCCTAACCCTCCCATCGGGCCTGGTTCCCATAGAAAATGCTTACAGCAAGGGGTGCAGAGCGTTGGAACAGGGGTAAAGACAGGAGACTTGCTTTGTTCCAAGGTGTGTGCTGCCTCGCAGGGTGATTCCAGCATCACCCTTCCCCTTCCGTGGTCGGTCTACCACAGATGGATAATCACTGGGGGTCAACTCCACGCCCAGTTGTAAAATCAAACTGTGTTTCCTGGTAAGAAGATGTTGCCCGCATGTCTCCCTTACACTGTCACCTTCCCCCAGAAGAGGGTGCTGAGCCCGATCCTGAGGCAGAGCCCAAGCTGGAACTCTCCGACTACCCCTGGTTCCACGGAACGCTATCACGGGTCAAGGCGGCGCAGCTGGTGCTGGCAGGAGGGTCCCGGAGCCACGGCCTCTTCGTGATCCGCCAGAGTGAGACCCGGCCGGGGGAGCACGTGCTGACCTTCAACTTCCAGGGCAAGGCCAAGGCAAGTGGGGGGCAAGGTGGGGCAGCCAGCCCTGGGGGACAGGCTGAGGTGGCCCTGGTCCTAGAGCTTTGGCGTGACAGGACTTCCCACAAGCCAGGCCCATGCCGGCCATGGGGAAACCTCTTGCTGGTGGCCAGGCCCACCCAAGGCCAGGCCCTTCTGAGCACCGGACTTGGCAGGTCCTTTTGGCCCTTATGAATTGGGGATCCGTGGCACTGGGGCTTCTAAGGGTCCCCACCCAGAGCCATGTGGCTACTGGCTAGGGTCAGCGGAGGTCTGCAGAGTGGTACCCCAAGACAGCCCCCTCTCCTTCCTCCCCTGGTCACTCTCCATCCTCTTGTGCTGAGACAAGGGACAAGGACAGGAACACACCTATCTCCAGGGACACACGCAGTCCCTGTAGTGCAGAAGAGGGCTGCACAGGGCCTTGGGGACAAAGCCAGAAGCGCCCCTGATCTGCGATGTTCAGGGGGAGAAATTGCTGAGATGGAGACGGGTGGGGTGTGTGACCCAAGCAGGGCCATGAGCACAGGTGGTGCCCAGGAAGGGTCACGGGCCATAATGACCTATGGGGCAAAGGGAAAGACGACAGAGAGGTCAGAGGACTATTGGGTTGAGAGCATGTGGCTGGAGTGGGCAGGAACCTCAGCACCCCAAACCCCAGGTTTTGCAGGAGGGGGCACCCCAGGATTCCTGCTCTAGGCCTGCAGCGAGGGCTCCGCATCTGTCTGCAGGCTCTGGGCTGGCCCTGCAGAGGCTCCCAGGCCTCTCTCCTTGGCAACGCTGGCCCCATCGTGAAGGAGGTAGCACCTCCTCGGGGACACCTCCTTGGAAGGCAGCCATCCTTAGCAGTTCCTCCAACAACTCAGTGCTTAGCGCCATCCCAGGCGGCTGGCAGTTTATTTCTTGGCCAGCGCTGTCTCCCTGGAGGGCCCCCGGGCGCAGACGATGCCCAGCTTGCCGAGGGGCATGGAGGGATAAGCCGGGCCAACAGGAGACAACCTTGCACCTGGCCCTCCCCACTCACTCAGCTGCTGCTGTCAGTTCCCTGCCCTTAAATCAGGGGTCGAGTATAGCAGGCCCGTCTTCTGCTGCCGCTCCCTCCCAGGAAGGGAGTCACTTCCTCCTGAGGTAGCTTTTTCGACCTTCCAGTAGCAAAAGTCTGGAAGGTTTTCAAATCCAGATCATCAGCCTTGCTTCCCCCTGCCCTGGCAGCGCAGCTCTGTCCTGGACCTCTGCCCCCAAAGGCCCTGCCCAGACCCATAGTTGTGGTAGGACCTCATATGCCTTTCCTCCAGGCCGAGTGCCAGCCCTGGCCTGCCATTGATTTTCCCAGGGTTTGCTCACACTGCTCCTGGCCCCACCAAGTGGCAGAATTCACTCCTATCTCACCCCAGGGGCTTCTCTGTCCTCTCAAGGCTGCTAGGCCAGCTCCCCATCTTGGGCTTTGGGCCACATCCACATCCTCAGAACCCCGTCTCTACCTCCCTTCCTGCCATGCGCGCCCTAGAGGCAGCCACTCTTCCTGCTGTGGGACGCGTGCTGGACAGAACAGAATGGAAACAAAGAGAGCTGTGGCCCACCACTGGAGACCACAGGCCCATGGCTTCTCACCTTGAGTTGCTGCCTGCTGTGGGCCCTGGGGACCCACAGAGAAGCTGGCCCCACGTGGTCCAGCCGTTCCCATCACAGCAGAGCTGAGGACACAAGCAGGGAGCCCACCCCGCAGGCTTTGGCACTGCAGGGACTGTGGCCAACCCTGGCCTCCCAGCCTGTCAGGATCACACAGACATGAGTTCTCATCCCAGCACACGGCGCTGCGACTATGGGGCGAGTCACTGTCCCACAGTAATCCCTACTCTCTGGGGTCTTCCAGGGTGGGGGGTGAAGGACATGGGCATAGGCACAGAGCAGGTGCTGCCAGGGTGGGGGCACTGTGACCTGCACTCCCTACCCCACCCCACCACAGCTGGGACCCCGCCCCCAGAGAGGGCTCATGAAAGGCACTTGCCCAGCAGATAGCAGACCCAGACCCCCACCACTTACTGGCCTGCCTGTGTCCACAGCACCTGCGCCTGTCCCTGAATGGCCACGGCCAGTGCCACGTGCAGCACCTGTGGTTCCAGTCCGTGCTGGACATGCTCCGCCACTTCCACACCCACCCCATCCCCCTGGAGTCAGGGGGCTCCGCCGACATCACCCTACGAAGCTATGTGCGGGCCCAGGGCCCTCCACCTGGTAAGATGTCCCTGCCTGGCCCTGTGACAGCTCTAGACAGGCAGCCACCCAGCATGGCTGGGGAGGGCGCTAAGCACCAAGTTCCCTGATCAGAGCCTCAGGTGCACCCCTCCTAGGGACAGGGACTTGCGGGGGGCGGGGTAAGGAATGGAGCCGGTGATGGATGGCACCCAGGTCCCAATGATCCCTGGCGAGGGGAGGGTTCCCTGGAGCCCCGCACAGCTGTGGCTCAGCACTGGAAGCACTGGCCGGGTGCCTAAAGGGTTCAGCTAGGCTGGTGGGGCGCTGTGTGCCATCTCAGGAGGTGAGCTCGCCCGACACCCCAACTCGGGCCTGGCGGCCTGCGCGATCCCGGACCACGCCGTCCCCGCTGGGCTCTGCGCGTGGGTCCGACACACTGGGCTGCGGGACCAGAGCGGCCCCGGGCCTGGCGCTGACTCCACGCGGCCTCCCGTTGCAGACCCAGGGCCGTCG